ATGGCCCCTAGCTGCCCTTCAAGTCTGGAATTGAACCCACACCTGTGGTTTCCAGCCAAACAAAATACAGGCATATGAGTTGAACATTTACCTCAAGTAAATACACTCCTTGGAGAGAACAATCATGGGGGAAAGAAGGGCTGCTTATGCACAGGGAGACAGCTCAGGGGGCAGGAGGGTATGGAGGGATGGACACTGGGAAGAGGTAACTATGGGGAGAAAGTGGGAGGGGAGCTGTTGCATTGTGGTAAACTGTGGTCAATGACATGAGACAAGTGTATATGAACTGCTATATGGAAAGTGCATTTGCTCTGTAAATCTTCACCCAAATCACAATATAAATAAATAAATAAAATATTGTGGACATGCAAGGCTCAGGTGAGCTTTCTTGCTTGACAATACTCTGTGTAAAGTGTCACATATTGTAGTTGGTAGGAGGTAACACCATCCAGGATTCCCAAGAGAAAGAATGGCCAGAAAGTTCATGTTTGAACCTCCAGACTCTTCTCCATGCATGTCTTCCTTTGGCTGGCTCTAATTTTTATCCTTTCTCTTAAAAAAAAGAGAAAGGAGAATTGTAATCATAAGTATACCACTTTCAGTGAGTTCTGTAAGCCATTGGAATTATCCCACTTGAGCACAGTTGTGGGAACCCTTGCATTACCCAGGCAGTCAGAAGTGAGGGTGACCCTGGGGAACCCCAAATTTGTGACTGTTGTCTGAAGTGAGGGCAATCTTGTGGAGACCATGCCCTTACCCTGTGAAGGTTGTTCTTACTTTGGGTAGTTGGTGTCAAAAGTCATTTGCAATAAGATATTCTGTATCTTAGGATGTTGTATTGCTTGGGATGGGAGGTAAGAGTAGGATGAAGCCCCAAAGCCCAAGCTCAAGACACAAAAGGGATTGCTCACCTGCTTTCAGAAATGCAAACCCTGCTAGTTGAAGGCCTGTGCTGGATGCTGAGGTGAGTATACAAAGTATGGAAGTAAGAGATGAAAAGGGCTGAATTGCTGTGCAGATAAAGGGGGAAGTTTGAGGTTGGAAAGGCAGGCAGGGACTATGGAGGAGAGACAAGGAAGCCAGAGAGGATGGGTGCTGGCCAGCGGAGAAAGAGTTTTAAAAACAAATAAAGAGGCTAAAAACAATTCCTAGACCAAAGAGTTCTGGCTAAAAAGGAAATGAAAAATGTGGACAATTGAGATGGAATTTTAAGTTGTTGGTGGTAGGTGTCCTAGAACTCTTTCAACACATTCTGTAGTAAAGCTGTGCAGCTACTGGTGCTTTTGTGTATGTTCTTTTATGAGAATGTGATATGGTACTGAGTTCTGACTCTGTTGTTGTTGTTGTTGTGAAGTAGATTGCCCGACCTTCCTTCCGAGGAGTGACTGGTGGGTTTGAACTTCCAGCCTTCTGATTAGCAGTCAAGTGCCTTAGGCACTACACTACCAGAGCTCCCAGTTCTGACTCTAGGGGGAAAAAAAAATCAAACTCACTGCCATCGAATCGATTCCGACTCATAGAGACCCCCTTTGGGTTTCCAAGATGGTGGTAAATCTTTAGAGAAATAGATTGCCCAGTCTTCCTTCCATGGAGTGGCTAGTGGGTTTGAACCGCCAACCTTCTGGATAGCAGTTAAATGGCTTAGGCACTCCTCCACCAGAGCTCCTAAGGGAATCTAAGGAAGTGGGATAAAAATAGAAATAATGTAAGTGGATGTGGGACACAGGAATATGTGTACTTGACATTTTGATTGCTTGAGCTTATTAGAGTTAGGTTTCAAGTAGGTTTTGAGCAGATCTCTTTGGACCCTAATTTGCTACATGCATCATGATTGAAATGCATAATGTGTGAAATTATCAATATTTATTTTCTTAGCCCCAATATTCTTTTGGGCTCTTAGTCATATTTCTGATGGTGAAGGTTAATACATAAGTCAGGCTTCATGTAAGCTATTTATATAGTTAATAACGTATATCTGGTAATTATTTAATTATATTAATGAATTAATATTTATATAATAGCCACTCCTTGGAAGGAAGGTTGGGCAATCCTACTTCCGTAGTGATACTGCCTCGGAAACCCAAGGAGGGGTCGCTATGAGTCGGGGCCGACTCGACAGCAAATAACAACAACAACAGAGTGTTTAATAGGAAAAATACATGTATATTAGAGTCATGTTTGTTGTATGTTGGCTATGTATCCCTTGGCATTGCTGAACCCATTTATTAGTTCAAGGAAACCTTTTTTTGTAGAACCCTTTAAATTTTTTTCGTAAACAGTATGTCATCCTCAAATAAGAACAATTTCATTTCTTCATTTCCAATCAGTATAATTTTTATTTCTTTTTCTTCCTTATTGAATTGGCTAGAACTAACGTCACTTTGTTTCTAGCTGTTATGTCTCTTAAGTCTCTTTCTTAAACTAAACTTTTACTTTAGAATGTTTTTTGATTTACAGAAAACTTGTGAAGATAGTAGTTTGTTAATATCTTACATAAGTCTAGGAGCTTAGGTGGCTCTGTGGTAAAAGTATACAGCTGCTAACGAAAAGGGTGGTGGTTTGAACCCACCAGCTGCTCCATTGGAGAAAGATGAAGCAGTCTGCTTCCATAAAGATTTAAAGCCTTGGAAACCCTATGGGACAGTTCTACTCTGTCTTACAGGGTCACTATGAATTGGAATCAACTTGATGGCAGTGGGTTTGGTTTTTATTTTGTTTTGGTCAGGTATGTCCTTCATTTTGAGTTTATCTGATATTCTTCTCATAGACTAAGGTTATGGGTTTTGGAGAAGAAGCCACAGAAATAAAATGCCATTCTCATCTCATCATATTAAGGGCACATGATATCAACATGACTTATTACTGCAGATGTTTGTCTTGACTGCTTGGCAAAGGTTGTGTTTGTCAGGTTTCTTCACTGTAAATTTCCCACTCCAGCAATGATAAAATTGGTTCCTGCCACTTGCTATCCATTTACTTAATTTCTCAATTTCTAACATTACTTAAAATCAAGAGAAATATATTAGAAAAAGTGATTGAATGGATTCCTTGATACTGATACCAGACAAAAAATATCTAGTTACAAGACCTCAAGTGAAACCCCCCTCACATTTTCATGTATTTTTCCATTAGCTTAATCTACCTGAATCTGCTTAGTAATTGTGAGGGTGAGTATGTTGTTGTTGTAGTTTGGTGCTGTCAAGTTGGTTCCAACTCATAGTGACTCTACGTACAACAGAATGGAACACTGCCTGGTTCTGTGCCATCCTTACAATCTTTGCTAAGTTTGAGGCTGTTGTTGCAGCTGCTTGTTGAGGGTCTTCCTTTTTTTTGCTGACTCTCTATCAAGCATGATGTCCTTCTCCAGGAACTGGTCCCTCCTGATAAGATGTACATGAGATAACGTCTTGCTACCCTCACTTGAGTATACTTAAGGCTAATGTTAAAGAACTTGGAAATTTTGTGTGAGATGCCAACATTTAATGTTCTTGGGATTTCCAAACAATTCACACAATTTCCTGTGAAGTTATAAAAGTGAATTAGGACCTTATTTTACAGAAATTAAAGCAGTTCTCTCATTGGTTACAATGCCTTATGTTATTTCCCTTCATACTCTCTTTATGACTTACAGTCTATCATGCTTGCCTATTTTGTGTATGGATGTGTTTTAGGACCTTAGGGAACCAGAACTGATACCCAAACCCCTGCAGAAGTGTTGGGTAAGCACTTCCCTCTTGGGAATGCCCCATGGCTGACAGCACTGCAAGCCAGTAAAAATCCCCCCAAGAGGAGAGACTCTGACTGGCCATGTGAACCAACAGTTCAGTGCTACCCTTCTCTCTTAAGTCAGTGCAAAGAGTGTCCAATCAAATGAGCTGTCCCCTTTTTCCCACTACATCATCCCTTTCCCTTTTCTTCTGCCAATATGGTTGAAGTACATTTTCCAGCGTTATAAAAGGGCTAAACAACAGAAGCATCTCTGCCTGTGATTTCTGAAGAGCAGAGGACAGGAAAATGTCATTAGCGAGATGAAAGGTTTGGTTTAAAGTGGCTAGGGTGAGGCTCAGCCCTGGAGGGCTTTTTAAGGGTCAAGGTGAGAGTGCTGAGCAGAGGGACATCCAGGGCACAGGAGGGGCACTGTTTAAAGAGAAAGTTTTGGGACAGCATTTATTAACTGCCATTTGCTCCTCCAACTCAAGAATAGGCATTTTCTTCCTAAACCCAAATTAACATTCCAACTCTGTTTTGATTTCCAATGTACCATTGTTGTTGTTACATGCCGTTGAGTCAGCCACGACTCATAGCGACCGCTCCTTCGGTTTCCGAGGCGGTATCACTATGGAAGTAGATTGCCCAACCTTCCTCGTACCATTGTTTGTTGTTGTTATGTGCCGTCGAGTCGACCCTGACTCATAGCGACCCCTCCTTGGGTTTCCGAGGCAGTATCACTACGGAAGTAGGATTGCCCAACCTTCCTTCCGAGGAGTGGCTGGTGGGTTTGAACCGCCAGCCTTCTGGTTAGCAGGCAAGTGTCTTAGACACTATGCTACCAGAGCTCCTCGTACCATAGAGCATCCTAAATCTGTTTGAAAATGGCAGCGTGAAGTCTAAGTACATACATTACCACAGATTTAAGTTTCAAGGATTTGAAGTGCACTCTTTTATTTGGGGCTCTCGCTCCCTGGCTGAGGTCAACTTCATGCATACTGTGATATGAGATAATAAAATAAAGAACCCAATAGGAAGGAATTGTTTATGGAGAGGAAAATCTTCCACAGAACATAATGCTCTTTGTCCTGTTGTGCTGGATGAAGAGGAAGGGGTGGTCTGCATTAAACCTTAGTGTCGTGCTTGCACATTTCGCCACTGCAACCACAGCAGTCACAGCTGCTGCTTTTGTTCCTTTCTCGTTGACTTCCACAAAGAACCTGCGCTCAAAATTGGACAGGGACAGGTTTCTCTTGGATGACATTCCAGAAAAGTCAGCTTCGGCTTTGTCAGAGGCATTGGTAATTCCCAAACTTCCAAGAACAGACTCCAGATTATAGTTTTCTTCCAACTTAAACCTGGGCAGGAAGATCTCTACATCTTCTCTGTCCATAACACTTAGCTTTGTCCAGGAAGTGAAGTCGTCATACGAGAGTGCATTTTCTACCTGTAAGAAAAAGGACAAGAGTCCTAGGACCCCAATGTAGTAGTCTGGCCACTCAGGCATACCTGCTTCCTCTCCTAACTACCTTGGATGTTTTTTATATCCACTCAAGGAGCATTAGTCTGCTAAGCAAAAGGTCAGCAGTTCAAAACCACCAGCTGGTCTGTGTGAGAAAGTGGTGGCAGTCTGCTTTTGTAAAGATTTACAGCCTTGGAAACCCTATGGTCCAGTTCTACTGCATCCTGATGTTAATGGGTTTGTATCCACTTCGCTAGTTAAGGATGACGGTCAAAACTGATTTCAAATTCTTTACTAATTAGAAATTGGTTGTATTTTTATGTACCATTGGTTACTCTGAATCTAACCATGTATAGCTTTATCATTGACACTGTAGTCTCTCATCTTATTGGCAAAGAATTGAACCTTCATCTTTGATCCTATCAGCAGTTTTGGACCTGACATTTCAGTAATTTTGAAGTACTAGGAGGTTTTATTCTTGGTATTTTCCCTTCCATCTCAAGATGAAAATGAAATTTGGTTCAATATTTGGTGCTGTAATAAAATGGCCAAAGTAATTTGCACAAATAGGGAGCTAATGGAGTACTACTGGATTTTCAGAAAAAGAGCAACTAGCCTTTATGGAGAATTAAATCCAGAAAGCATTTCCATGGAAGGTAGATCTCAGGAGTCTCACATTCCATCTATTTACATGCATATTCTTTATTGGGAGGCCAAACTGTTTTGAATAAGACATGCTTTTGGGGTGTCTTTGAACTCTGTCTTATCAGCCTGTGAGGTACAACAAGAAATGCCCATTGGATCATGAAGGTTTTCTGATAATCTCTAATTATCAGAGCTCTGGGGCCACAGGAAGACATGCTAGAGGAAGCAGAAGGCAGTGCAGTGCCCCAGGGTGTTGTATAAACTTCCTGTGCTAATGGAAATCTGTATCTGGGATTCTGACCAATGGGAGAGGTCTGAAATTTCTGGGGTGTGTTAGGAGAATCAGAGAGAGGAGCTGATCTGCCAGAGAAAGGGGTAGGGCAGATCACATGAGCAAGTCCACAGACAGGCAGCCTTGAGCTGGGGATGGGAGGGTCCACAGCATTTAAAAAATAAGCAAAGAAGGAACACAGCCTCCTTCTAAAAAGTTCCCAAGATGTAGCCTCACCAGTTATCAGTTAAAAGCACCCCCTACCTGCTTTCCCTAAAATGTGCTATTTGGTGTGTGGGTGGTGTGTGTGGTAGTGGGATTCTGGGGCACTGTTTATGACCTTTCCCAAACTGGGCCAACTTCCAAGGGCAAAGCTGGGTAAGTGAGAAGCCCACATGACCCACACTGTTGTTCCCATGCCAGAAGGTGCAGTGCAGAAGCCTGCTTACCAGAAATTCTTCTATGGATGGGCTGGTACCTTCCTTACGTGAAAAAGGTCACCACCAATACCATTACCAGTTACCATACAGTTGACTGCAACTCCTGGCAAACCCATGTGTGTCAGAGTAGAACTGTGCTCCATAGGGATTTTTTTTTTTTTTTTTTTTGCTTTTTTAAAAAATTTTTATTGTGATTTGGGTGAAAGTTTACAGAGCAAATTCGTTCTCCACATAGCAGTTCATACACATTTTGTTTCATGATATTGACTGCAATCCCCACAATGTATCAGCTTTCTTCCCATTTCCTCCCTCTGGTTACCTTTTCTGTGTCCTTCTTTCCTGTGCATTCCTGCCCCCCCGAGCTATCTCCCTGTGCAAATACTGCCATTCTGTACTCCCATGATTGATTGTTCTAAGAAGTGTATCTAGCTGGTGTATATGTTCACCCTATGTGCCTATGTTTGGCTTGAAGCCAGGAGAGTGAGTTCAACTCCAGCCCTGGAGGGTAACTAGGGGCCATAGTCTCAGGGGTTTCACCAGGCTCTATCAGACCAGTAAGCCTGGTCTTTTTTTTATGATTTTGAGTTTTGTTCCACATGGCTCTCCCACTCTGTCCAGGACCTCCTGAACTGATCCCTTTCCAAATGGTTGACAATGGCAGCCAGACACCATCTAGTTCTTCTGTCTCAAAGCCATATAGGCTGTAGTTCACATGGTTCACTAGTCCCCCAGACTAACTGTTTCCACGCATCTTTAGTTATCTTCATTCTTCTTCGCTCCAGATGAGGCGAGACCAATTGTTGCATCTAGATGGCCACTTGCAAGCTTTTAAGACCAGCCATTACTCACCGAAGTAGGATGTAGAACAATGTTTTTATGTAGTATCTTATACCAATGGAGCTTGATATTCTCTACAACATGATCCTGAGCCCGTGGATCCAGTGACTCACTCCCTCAGTGTGTTTGGCTGTGACTAAGAAGTTACCATAACTTTGCCCCATTAGCTATATTATATATATGAATATTCTAAGAGCACACACAAATATGTGTGTAGAAATATGATCTGCCAAACTTATATGTGGCCATGGGTGTATTTCCTTTTGCCTAAACATACCTGATCATTTAGCCTGTCTACCTATATATCCTCCAATACATTAATGTTTGTTATTACTGATAATGCAGTATTGTGTATGTAAAAGTGTTTATCTTTGCTGTCTATACCTCTTGTGCACCTCTCTGTGCCTTCCTTTTCCTTAGTGTTATTGTGTTGATCTCTCAATTTAGTATATTGCCTTCTCCTTCACTCAAATCAATACTTGTCTCTACCTATTTAGCAATTTTCCCTCCACTCTCATCCCATCCCTGGTAACCAAGAAAGAAAGTTTCCTTCCATGTAGTGCCTAAGGCATTTGACTATTAACCAGAAGGCTGGCGGTTCAAACCTACCAGACACTCCACGGAAGGAAGACTGGGCAATCTACTTCCATAGAGATTTACTGCCTCAAAAGCCCAAAGTGGGTTGCTATGACTCAATGGCTATGAGTTTGGTTTTTTGGTTTAGATTTTTTACAGTGGTGAATTAATATATTTGTCTTTCTGTGATTGACTTGATTTGACTTGATGGTCTGTGATTTCACTCAGCATAATGTCCCCCAAGTTCATCCATGTTATGCAGTGTTTCATGGATTGTACTGTTGTGCCCAGGTTATGAAGGAGTAGTTCGGGGTGAATAAATTGCCAACATGCGACAATGCAAAAAGCAATAGGAAAGTTTATTAGCTAACTTAAGTTAGGGTCCTTGCTTTCACCCTCGCAGTGGGTTGAGCAAAAGACCCCGTGCTCTTACATTAAGGGATATTTATAGAGAAACATAGAGTAGATAATTTGGTTTTTATGATAGGGGTTTGGGAATTTGGGGCAGGTTGGAATTCCCCTGGTTTCAAAGGTGAGTGAGAGATTTCTTGGGGCCCGGCAGATCTCTTTGATATGTGCATATTCTCTGTGAAACCCGGATCTCTTTGATATGTGCATATTCTCTGCGGAAACCCCGGGGGTGAAAGCCCTCCTAGTCTTCAAAGGTGGGTGAGAGGCTTCTTGGAGTCAAGCAGATTTCTGATAAAAGGCTCTGAGGTATGGGATATTTACTACAGGTATTAGGGCTCAGCATGGGACTTGTCAATCTACCTGGAGGCATTAGGGCTCAGCATGGGACGTGTCAATCTACCTGGAGGCATTAGGGCTCAGCATGGGACGTGTCAATCTCCATACTAAAGGCTTCTGGTTAAGAGACCTTTCAGGCTTTACAGTACATTATTCTTTAGTGTTGCACAGTATTCCATTGCGTGTATGTTACCATAGTTTGGATATCTATTCCTCAGTTGACAGGCAGTTACATTGTCCATCTCTTTGCTATTGTGAAAGAACATGCAATGAACATGAGTGTGCATATTCCACAGGGTTTTAAATGGCTGATTTTTTGGAAGCAGACTGCCAGGCTTTTCTTCTATGGCAACTTCGGGTGGACTTGATCCTCCAACCTTGAGGTTAGCAGCTGAGTGCATTACTGCTTGCACCAACCAGAGACTCCCGTCTTACAATAGTAAGAGAAATATCAATCTCCTAAGGAGGGGTTTTCCTCATTATCCTCCACCTTAAGTGAAACTACTCGTTATTTTGAATAACTATTTATACCACCCAGGATCATGAATAAAGGTTGTATTGTTGTTGTTAGGTGCCATGGAGTCAACTCTGACTCATAGCAACCCTTTTTACAACAGAACAAAAGACGGCTTGGTCGTGTGCCGTCCTCACAATCCTTGCTATATTTGAGCCACTGTGTCAATTCATATTGTTGAGGGTCTCCCCCTTTTTTGCCGACCTTCCACTTTACCAAACATGAATAAAAGTAGATTTAAAATATAAATGGTCTAATTTTAGGAAAAGAGGATTAATTAATTCACCAAATATTGATTTAAAAAAAAACAACAATTCATTTCTTGTGCCAAGCCCTCAGTTTCCAATGAGGGATAGCCATGTTGGGCAAGGCAGGCACTACAGCTGCCTCACAGATGTTATCACAGAGCAGGATGAGAATTAAGTGTGGGAGTGGGTTAAAATCAGTTAGGGGTCAGCATGGCCTTCCTGTCTTTAAGCTGAGACACACAAAACAAATACAAACAAGCAGCTATAAGATACTTTCTTGCTTTTATGGATGGAGTGAAAATAGCCCAGAGAAATCCCTGAAGTGGGAGGAGAGATAACTTCTTAGGAGGGGAAAAAAGGATACAGTAAATCCCTGTTTAAAGCCCAGCTGTGTTTACAGTCAGCAAGGTGAGTATAGAACATAACTAGGTTGCAGGAATTTCTCTCTTTTACATTATGCAACTAGAAACAAACAGCTCTGCCTTAATATCAACAACTTAGTTTTGTTTCATTTTGTCTTTCCATGCTGACTGCAAGCAGCTTTTTGGTCAAAATAAGAGCTATCTTCTTGAGCAGTGGAATACACTGTTTTTTGGGCCTCCCTTTCCACAACTCCCACCTCTATTCAGGCCCAGATCCCTCCTCCTCCATGCCCAGCCCAACCTTTGTGCCATGTCAAATCGTCCTCTGAGCCACAGCTGCATTGGATTCTACAGTAAACAACTGTTGCTATTGTTAGGTGCCACTGAATTGATTAAGTTTCATAGTGAACTCCTGACAGAGTAGAACTGCCCTGAAGGGTTTTCTAGCCTATAATCTTTATGCTTGTGCAAAAAGGGCAAGGAGGCCACATGTTCTGACCTCCTCTCATCCCACAAGATGAAGACAGAATCACCATCAATAGCCCAAGGCCTATTACTGGGAGGCCAGACATGCTGCCTCCCTCCAGCCCTCTCACCAACTGTTCCTCCCAAAGCACCACCACCTCTCTCCTGGGTTGGATAATTCATTGCAGTGGCCACACAGAACTCACAGATTATGAGGTTTATTAGGGAAGCACCAGGTTACAATTCAAGTTCAGGAAAAACGCTCAGTCTCTCTCCCAGCCCACCGTCTCTCAGCCAAGTCTCTCACAGTCTCTTCCCCAGCAGTACATGCCCCTCGGTGTCTCACTCAGCAATGCGTGTCTCTTGCATCTCTTTCCCAGCAGCACGTATCTCTTT